GTATCGCTATGCGAGTTTGGCTGAGCGAGTCTTATCTTTAATAACTATTGTCACTCAGCTACAAACGAGTAGAGAGAGTTCTCGCCGGCGACAGTGTGATCATTCAGCTATCAACTATTAATATAAAAAAAGATGGCGCGTAACGGAAAAATGTGACGCGTAACCGAAAAATGTGACGGTAAATTTTTTTCCAACGCCGATAAAGAAGTTTCACTTCAAAAAAATGTATAATAATTTTAAAGTATAAAGGATTTAAAAATGAAAAGAAAACGTCTTGAGGCTCGTTTGAATTACACAGACCATACTGCAAATTGGCATCCATAAATATCAACGTACTATACCTACGCGTCAGTGTATTCGGCGAATTGATACTAAACTGCGCAATACAGACTGCTGCTTTATAAGTTCGCCCTCATACGGATAATTATTGGTACCAGCTTGCCCATTTCGGCTCGGTTTAGAGACGTGTTGAGAATTGTCGATAATATCGAGCTTATTGGGGCTATTGAGCTTTAGAAAATTGTTAAATTTACTTTATGCTATTTATCGTCTATATCTATACTCTCTCCATTTTAAAATTAAGGGATCTTAAGTAATTTAATTCACATAGTCTTATAGCTCCTGAAAAGCTCTACAAATTGGTTCCTAAAAAGAATTTTCTATCACCTAAAATGAAGGAGCTATACTTAAAAATACGATCATTTTTTTTCGAAAATAAAAAAACATTTTTTTAACACTGAAAAACCATGAAACAATCATTTTTTAATTATTTTTACCCATATTTAGGTTTTAAATTTTAATTAATAATTTTTGATAATAAGGGGTAGTTTTCACACCTAAAAAACAAAAAGTGTACAACGGCACAATATAGAAAATGATCTAGAGGGTGAAATAAGCCTAATCCCAAACTTTTGTACAAATCGGTGCTGGACGAAAAAAATTCGAGGTTTTACCATTTTTTTAGCTTTTTTCCTGGACTATCCTGGCCGCGGATTCGAAGGAAATCACCCCGGACACCGCTGATGAGGGCGGCCCGCCGGCCACCGCCGTAGGGGGCGCGGCGCTCGGGTCTACATCAACGATACGTCTACAAGACTAGCTGCTAACTGCTCATAAAATTGATTCTATCTCTTTTAGACACAATGCTAGGTGCGACAGCGTGCTTTTTGGCCGCATCCACGAGTGAGTTCGAGCCCGCGACTAATTGACCCTTAACGTGCATGTATATGGTACGACTGTACGAAGCTCGCATGTAAGATTATAAAAATATTTTAAACAATATTAACTTTTCATTTAAGCAATAAAGTAAAAAAAAATTTTTCTTATCGGTTTTTTTTATAGATAGGTCCGACAAATGACTCCACCCCACCTGATGTTAAGTGAAGGTGAAGTCCAGATGCGAAGATAGCTGATACAGCAGTTCTAACTGCCACACCAGCCATCCTCACCCTGCCGGCCTGCAAGTTGCTTCTTCACGCCTCTTTTAAAGTATCCCAGGTTGTAAGAAGGAGGGAACACGTGAGCAGGCAGAGCATTCCATTTACGGATAGTACGACAAAGAAATGACTCACCAAATTTCTTTGTACGCGTTGGAATTGTAGCCAGAGTTAGACGGTGACAACGTAAGCCAGCGCGCGTGGTCCTCTGAAGGAAAGGGGAAGGTGGAATAAGAGAGAATAACTCCTCAGAACACTCGCCGTGGTACAGACGATAGAACGCGCTTAGTGACGACACGTCACGGCGTAATTGAAGAGGCTCGAGGTGTTTAGTCACCTCCTCATCGCCTATGATGCGGATTGCGCGCCGCTGTAACCTATCCAAAGCATCGAGCAAGTACTTAGCGAAGCCATCCCAGAGGTGCGAGCAATATTCCACGCAAGACCGCACTTGCGTCTTATACAACAAGCATAGTTGCTCGGGCGTGAAAAAACGCCGCACCTTGTTCAGGACTCCGAGTTTGCGTGAGGCTGTTTTTATCACACTTTCGATGTAATTCTTTGGATTTAAGTCACAGCGAATCTCCATACCGAGCATGGTGATACTGCTCTCTAGCTCCGGTGTTGTGCCAGGAAGAGAAGGATATAAAAGGAATGGCGACGTTTTTGCCGTGAAAGCGCAGACCTGGGTTTTCTTAGCATTGAACTCAACCAAGTTCTTGGTACCCCATCCAGAAATGTGGTCCAAAGCCTGATTGAGCTCAATGACAAGATTCTCCCGTTTCTCCTTGGTTACCGCCTGCCCAGCCGCTGCTTGTCCGAAATACCCCGCATGCACTGTACTATCGTCTGCATAGCAATGAATATTCCCAAGAGGAATTAAGTCATTGATATGCAGCAGAAAGAGAGTGGGGGATAGGACGGAGCCCTGGGGAACGGCGGCATTCACTGACATGAACCGCGAATTGCTACCATCCGTAAGGACACGAATTCTACGCTCATGCAGTAAGTCAGCTACCCAAGAACAGAACTGGGCCGGCAGACCGTATGCCGGAAGCTTGGAGAGAAGACTTTGGTGCCAGACCCTGTCGAATGCCTTGACAATGTCAAAGCTAATAGCTAACGACTCGCCTCGCTTGTCGATAGGCTTACCCCAGATATGAGTCAAGTACGCTAGAAGATCACCCGTCGATCGTTTCGGTCTAAAACCATATTGACGATCATTAATCAGGGAGTGATCCTCTAGGTAGCGGGTCAGATGGTTGTTAAGGACCTTTTCTAGGACTTTACATAATACTGAGGTGACTGCTATTGGCCGGTAGTTAGCCGGGTCTGAGCGATCCCCTTTTTTGGGTACCGGTTGCACGTTAGCATCTCTCCAAGTCTCCGGCACACGCCCCAAAGAATACGAGCACTGGTACAAAAGCGTGAGCACGGGAGACAACTCCGCTGCACATTTTTTTAGTACTACTGCTGGGATACCATCGGGTCCACTAGCTTTCCGGACGTCGAGTGATTGCAATACGGCACGAACCTCACGCTGCCTGATTTTGATATCAGGCATCATTGTGCCACAATGAGGTAATGATGGTGGCAGTGCATTGCAATCATCGATTCGGGAGTTAGCCGCAAAGAGTTTTGCCAGTAAGTCGGCTTTCTCCTGCGGCTTATGAGCTAGTGTTCCCTCTGGGCATCTCAGAAGTGGCAGTGAGGGCTGGCAGAAGTTCTTTTGTACGGCCTTGGCCAAACGCCAATAGCTACGGGAGCCCGTAGGATGCGTTATAAGTTCATGACCAACACGTGCAACGCACTGGGCATCCGCTCTGATGTAAGCCTTCTTACAGGCCTTGGAAGCAATATTGTAGGCTGATTTCAGTGAATCGACCCCGGGATCCTTAAGAGCCCAGCCTCTGATCCAAGCACGATATGCCGCTCGCTTACGCGTAGCAGCTTCAGCACAGTCGTGATTGAACCAGAGGTTACGTGTGCCCTTATTGATGAGATTGGAATGAGGAATATAGTATTCCGTACCCATGACAATCTCCTCAGTAATAGCAACGGCGCTGGCCGATAGGTCCTTGTCACTGAAACAGCGCTGCTTCCAAGGGACGGACGCAAAATAGTCACGCATACCGTCCTAATCTGCCGACCCATAATGCCAGATACGGCGCTTGACCACTGCTGGACGCGGAGGCTTGGCCTGTGGTGCTTTGGCAGATATCAGGCAGTGGTCTGAACGAACATCGCATCGAACGCGAAGGGGGGCTCTTACCACAACCTGATAGCCCTGTGGATGGGTCGTGAGCAGAAGGTCCAGTAAAGAAGGCGCTTGACTTGGAATATCTGAGATCCTGGTGGGCTGATCGACCAGTTGCTTCAAGTCCTGCGTGAGAGCGAACGCGTGAGCAGAGATCCCTGCATGGTCAGTTTTCGAGGAGTGTTAGGCACCCTACCACCAGCAGAGCGGATGGAAGCTCCGATGAGGGAGAGGGAAACGGGAAGAGAAGGGGCGGTGAGTTGTATTCTTTCTCCGTCACCGCACGGATTAATATCAAAGAAAAGACTTGAATTAATATCAAAGAAGTAAAAACTGCATAAATAAATAATTATAATTGCATAAGTTGATAAAAAAATGCTATGCAATAGCTTTACCGCGGCAGTCCCCGAGTGCCACACGTATTTTTTTTATGAATGCTAGTAGTTTTATATTTTAGGTAAAAATGACGTTTAGTTTTACTTGATTTTTTCAACCCTTTACTTGGCCGTTATGTTTTAAGCGGTCGATTATTCATTTTATCTCTTATTATTGGGAAACATAAACCATAGAGTAACCGAAATAATTCATAAAAAAGATTAAATTACTTCTTTTACATTTTTTGAATCAAAAACTTCTATAAACGATAAAGCCGCTATGTGTTTGCAAAACTTAATTATATTTTCTTGACTAAAGTCTCTCTTATGTTCAAACCAAGTTGAAAAAGACTTCTTCGACACAGATACTTTAGTTCTTATTTTTATAATTTGTGTGGTCTCGTGATCCGAAAGTCCTAAATAAAGAAATTCTGATACGGACTGGTCTATATTACTGGCAATTTGATCAATACAAGCATTTAATCTAGTCGGTAACTTAATATGAGATTTCAATCAATATCTCAAGAGAAATTGAGATCATTTAATATGGATCGCATCAACTTATTCGTCCCCTTTCTGGTAACGGGTGGTCCCACATGGATAGAAATATTTCGTAGTACGTTGACTCTTTTTCATTACTTATAAATTGCTTACCCACGAGTAGGCGTTATTAACAGATTGCTGTTATTATATTCAGCACTTTTAGTAAGCTTCAATAAATGTATAACTGATAATCATCGTTTTTATTTATAAAAGTAACACTAGACTCCTTTAAATGCCACAGATCGACGCGGTCCAGTGTTTAGATTTAAATATCTAGCAGTTGTCATGAAAGAACACGGCGACGCGAGCAGCTTAGCCCACCCCTTGGATCCGCTACTAATATTCACAGTCGTCTCCACATAATAAATCTGTATTTGTTTTTGTTTACAGAATTAAGTCCGAATGAAGAAGCCAGACAAGCAGTAATTCGCGAACTCATTACCACAGAAGCAGACTACATCAGGCATCTCATTTCTATAGTGGAGGTAAACAAATATTATTAAACAAGAATAAAATATTTAAAAAAAGATATATACAATTTTATGGAGTAGTTAGTGTACAAATTTCAGTAATGAAAAATAAGGTATTCATATATCTTATCAATTCCTAATTTAAAACACTGTTTTCAAGAAAAGGCAAGTCAAAAATAATGATTAGTTACCTATGTATAAGGCATTTTATTCCGAATCGCAGTGTCTAGGTAGATGTTTGAAATAGATGTGGATGTAGAAGTTGCAAAAGAATTTACTTCTCGTTATAAGCAACCAATGTGAATATACATTACTGCCTTAATACTGCCATAAAGCTACGCCTGAACTTACAGACACGTTCGTCGCACTTATAGTTTTGTAAAATTAATGTAAAGAATTAGGCAACAAAATAAAAATTACAGACACAACAATACTAATTTTGTACTTTTTGGCAAGTAATAAGGAAACATAAAATAATACTTTATTATTAGCATATTTATCGTATAGGTATTACTTTTGGCCGACTGGTTCCGAAGTTGAATCAAGTAACATTTTGTGTGAGAGGGGGAGGGGAATCAAGAAAAAACAGAAAGAAGGATATTAAAATCATAGTAATTATGTATTATAATATTTTTTACTATAAAACTAATCAGACTTTTGTCCTTATATAATATTAAAATAACTGAAAGCTACAGAAAACAACTTAGAAAACTTAACTCAAGTTTTAGTAAAATTGCTGTCGAGCACCCAATGCTATTTGTATAATAGTTTATTTTATGCTTTTCAGCTGCTAGAAAAACGTGTCAATAAGTATATTTATAAGAAACTAGCTGACCCGGCGAACTTCGTACCGCCTTAGCGTAGCTTTGATGCACTACTTTATTTTGTATAGCTGACCTATCTTATGTATGAGTACCTATTCAATTTGAACTGGAATCTATAATATCCTCCATATAAAAATGAATCCTTATTTCCCTGGTCTCGCCATATCTGAGGACTTTACTAATTTTTATTAATTAAAAAACAACATATATATTTTCATAATAGTGTTTATTCCATAGGGTTCAATTTCACTCATATTTTTACAAATCGCTATTGAACAACTTTGCATTTTGAAGTAAACACTGAGCTCAACACCACGCGCGCTCTAGAAAGCAACTAATAGCCTCTATACCCTTCACTGCTTCTCTCTATTCTAATGCTTTTTGATAAACTATATTTTTAGTTTTATGTTCTGGCGCGTAAATAACTAATGTTGATGGTTTTCCGACACGGGAACAGGCGACATATAATTGGCCATGTGAAAAACATGGATTTTCTAGGTTGATGCCACATACACTTAGCGACTGCCCTTGCGATTTATTTATTGACATTGCAAATGCAAGCCGCACTGGAAACTGTAAACGTTTAAAGCTGAATGGCATATCGTTCGGTATCATAGGGATGCGTGGGATTAAAACATCTTCGCCTTTTTGCTCATCAGTTTGATTTGCTCTTATATTTCTTTGACTTGCCGTATTTCGAGTTCTGCGGCCTAAGTTTGTACGTCTTGGTTGGTGGCATTGTTAAAAACGAAAATCCAACTGAAAATATATTTTCTGTATAACCATGTAAAATTGTAATATTGTGTGGTCACCAAAAGTTACCAAAAATCGATATGAAGTGAAGTGAACTTACCGTGATTAACAAACACTTATTAGCAAACAATAAACTTCTTAAACAAAACGAACTTTATCAAAAACTTAATAAAATTATTGTTAGCGCGGTGTGGATGTGTTGTCACAGATTACCACAGATTTTTTGACGTGACAACGTCTTAAATTAGGTTGCGGCTGGGAGTCACTTATGAAAAAGTGTAACGCTCGGTAACGTTACGATGAGTTTAAGTTTACATGTACAATGTTTTAGTAAACAAAATATATTTCTATAGTTAAAATTTGTGCAATTCTTATTTTCATTCAATTCCTTGTTCCTATTGTGCAATTTAATTATATTCATATCAATAAATATTCTACCGAGAAAAAGACGTTGTCACGTAAAATCTTCGCCCGTAAAACCGACTTTACAGGCAACCATTTTTTTTTAAATTGAATGACGTTGACATTTGTCAGCGCGGTTATCGGTGTGGTGTCACAGATTACCACAGATTTTTTGTTTTAAATTGAATGACGTTGAAATTCGTTACGTTATATTTTTCAATCTTTCTGAGAGATTTTCTTTATATTTTTTTCCGTAAGAACCTTGTACAGAGTATTAGAAAACTACAAAACAAAATCAGCCAAATCGGTCAAGCCGTTTTCATGTTATGTCGTGACAACGGAAAACGGGTTTCATTTTTACCCGGCTGCGCAATGCAAGAGCGCGAAGCGCGACGCGCAGACAGGGTTATGTGTTTAACAGTCTATATATGTATGTTTGTTCCTTTGTGGCACACTACAGACCAAACGCCTCGACCGATTTTGATGATTCATACATCAATCGATTCGTCTCAATCATGGGAGTGCTACTAAAGATATGATAGTAATCAAAATTCAATATGGGCAAAATTAGGCGCCATATTGTGACGAAGTAAAAAAAATAAGTTGACAAAATATGTCGAGTGGGGTATCACTGTCTAGATAATCAAAAATCATAATTAGGTTCCTAACACTATTTTTCATTTTATGTGATTGTTTAGGATCTACAACGCTTTAAAGTTGTATAATAACCACTTACGCTTTTAATTTCAATCTTACGTTTATATGGATCTTTGTTAATCTTTCACCTAAAAAATACTGAATGGATTTTAATGAAACTTAACAGTAATATAGCTCATATATGATAATTACATATATATATATAATAATTTATGTAGTTATTGAGTGAATTGGCCAATATATAACAATAAGTGTCACATAAGACGGAAAAAAAATCTCCCATCTGCGAGCTATTTTGGCCTGCACTGCAAAAACAATAAAATGAATGTAATGTAGAGTGAAAATGTATCTCTTAAATAGTTCTAAAACAAAGTCCGTGACACCATCTATCTATTTTTAATGTGTGAGTCATTACCGCTAAAATAGTGGATCAAAACTAAAACATTATTTGATATCTATTTCCAAAATGCACATTTTGATTAAGAAATCATTTTTTATCCAAACAAATACTTTTATCGCTTTTAATATTTAAAGGCGATAAACTTTGCTTTTTACACTATGTCACAACGATGACAAAGTGATAGCGCGTGTTTTTTTTTTTCTCTTTCGTAGTGTAAGAGAAAAAAAAATGGGGTATTCGCAGTATCTGATCCTATACGAAGTACTAACAATAAAACTGTGATACAGTTCCTTCTTATTAAATGATGAAAAATATATTATCATAACAGGTATTTACGATTATTGAATTTTAATGAAAAACTCAGAATTTTACTGTTTTTCATTTTTTTTAACGATATTACTTAATGTTACAAAAAAGGTTTACTGAATATAACGACAAATAACCTATTGTTCGCTAGTAAGTACATACTTATTGGAATCCCTGTATTTATTAATCAGCTCGCGATAATATTGGTTTTGTAATAATTCTGCAAAATTCAAAGTAAATAATGTAGATTTTTATAGGTAAATCACCCCTTTCATCACCCTACGCCTATAAGTATTGCGATGTTGTAGCTAAGAACCAAGTTCCCATCTACTTCTATATGGGAATTCATTATATTCGATTTAGCTATTAGGGCACGGAAGCGCAACAAACAAACTCACTTTCGCATCTATAATATTATATTATACTTACTAGTGATCCGCCCGGGCATTGTACTGGCGAAATTTATTTATCGGAATAAAATATAGCCTATGTCACTCGGACAAAATGTATTTAAATAAAGAAAAATGTTATATTAAATAATATAGCTACCTTATGATGAATTAATATTTGAAACCGGTTCAGTAGTTTGACAGATTATTTGTTACAAACATACAAATCTTGCCTCTTTATAATATTAGTATAGATAGTTAGGAAAAGATAAGTATTTAATTGATGAAAAAGATTTAAAAATAAAGTAAGTAATAGGTTTATTTGATTATATTTGTAAAAGTTACTTAGCATTTGTGCTTAACAGTGATACGTTATTCGGTATTTTTTAAACAAAAAAAAAATTTGGAAAATAATTGCCATGATTGCACTACTGGGAGTACTCTTCATTCGAGCTTTACACTACCAAAAATTATTTTTTATCAAAACAAAAACTTATATCGTTTTTGATATTTAAAGACGATAAACTTTGCCTTTTACACTATGTAATTTCGACAAATACTTAAAAAGTTACAACGATGACAAAGTGATAGCGCGGTGTCACAAAGTCTTTGACCTGTTATATGTGAACGCTTTAAAAGAAAACTACAAAGAGAACTATAAATTGATAATAAATGAGATTGCTATGGTGCTCTACCTAACGTTATGAAAATTTTATTATGCGCCTTAAGTTTAATCAAATATATAAACTTTGCTTTGGTGATTGCATAATTATTTAATTTAGCGATCTAAGGCAGTTGCCACCATTGTCCAAAACAACAGACGTGAGTTGCTGCTTTCTTCAACCTACGACATAAACGTCATTGATTGGTATTGTTTATAGGGTGATTAACAACATTTGAAGTTAACTTCTGGCATCTACATATTGGTTTCTGTGAATTATGTAGGTATATCAAATTATGAGACTAGGATATGACACAGCATTTGTGTATATCACAATCTTAGACGTCCGGCATTGACATGACAATGCAGCCACTGCCAATTTTAAATAGTCGACGAATAAAAGTAAATGAATTTTATATTTACAGCTAAACTACTAATAAGAACATAAACAAAAGATGACTTTTTGAATAAGTGCTAGTTTACTATAAAATTTACATGCATTAGAGATATTTATGTAACGACTTGATTTAACTTCACACATTTTTGCAAAAATTGAGGCCCATCTGTAGCCTTGACCCCGCTGGTAAAGTCCCTTTATGTCTTAATAAATCAATCTTTTAGAC